ACCCTACCCTACCCTACCCTACCCTACCCTACCCTACCCCACCCTACCCTACCCTACCCTATCTAACCTTTCTTTACCTTACTTTGTCCAAACCTACAATACCGTATTTTACCCTATTTTTCTATACATACTTTACAGTAACTTAAGCTATTATACCACACGTAGTAGCTTACCTTGTTTTAGTACCGCAACCCTAGTCCATCCTTATCTACCATCCCTTGCCTTGCTCTATCACATTCTACTCTAGCTTATGCTGATAAGCAGTAGCTTATCATCATAAGTTGTCCAATTCTACCAAACCATAGCCTATATATTATACGTATCTCGCTTACTTTTGTACTCTAGCACTGTCTACTCTATTTCACCCTGCCAATAACTTTAACTTCTTTATTGCTCTCACCAACGTATTTTATCAATTTCAAACAAAAAGTCTTAAAATTTCAAAAAAAAATTGCAAATTCGAAAAAAAGGTGGCAATTACTGTAACCATGCTGTCTAACAAATGTTTAACTTTTAAAGAGCGGCCGGTAGGAAGTGCTTTTCATTTCGGACCACCAACGACGCAAAAAAAAGTTGTCTCGCCTCAGGGTTTATTTGAACCTTTTTTCAGCCGGACTGTCAATTGGGTCCGGGTTAATGGCCTTTTGAACAAATATAGAGTAGCAACGTTTACTTTTTGTAAAAAAATATTTTTGTTTGCAAAAGGTATAAAAAAATTGTGAGGGTGGGGTATTTTTTTCACTGTGGTGGATAATTTTCAATTTCAAAAAATTTAAAAAAGGACGCGGTAAAAATATTTTAAAAAAAAGAAAATGGCTTTACATTTAACCAAAACTGCCATTTTATACCCCACCCTTTCAGAATTTTTAATTTTAGCTAGCTTTTTATATTTTTAGCTTCTTAAGCCCACCCTCGGCCAAATAGAATTATGATGCGCCTGTTTTGGGTGGTCTTAATGCAATTTGAGGTGAGAATGGCTAATTTCGCGTTGCAGAATACTTAAGTAAGCGGTTTGCAGATCAAGTTTCATCTTTTTATGTTATCGTAATTAATGCACACTACCGTATTTTTTTTAAACGTATTTGAAATTCAGAAAGAAAAAAAACAAAATACGACCCTAACGTACCCTTTTCTACTCTACCCTAGTCTGCGTTACCCTACCCTACTCTGCCCAAAAAATTAACCTACCCTTACTTCAACCGTACCACACCCAACCCTAACCTACCTTACCTTCTTTACACTATCCTCTAAACCCTACCCTGCTCTAGCTTACCTTACCGTAATCTACCCTATTTTCCCCTAACTTCCTCTGCCTTGTTTTGTCTTACCTTATTGTAGCCTACCGTAACTTTTACCCTGCTTTACTCTACCCGAAAATAAACTGCTTTTACGTCAACCGTAGCGTAACCAACCTCAAGCTACCCTACACGTACTGCCATACATATTATTCCTACTGTACCACACCCGACTCATTCTCCTACATTAGTCAACGTAACTATATACATATAGTAAGGTTATCTTACTCTATCTTCATATAATGTCACCTTAGCTCCCTTCAAGCCCTTTCTAGACCTTTCTTGAACTTTGAGCCAAACCCCAACTCTGCTATCTAAATATATATTATGTCCTTACAATATAAAAATTTTAAAAAGAGTAAATTATTGCGTTGCAAGTTGACTAAAACACTAGAGATAATACAGTATCAGTTTCGTAGCCATAGTAAGCTACTTTTGTACCGTTAGATTATAGACAGTAATTATAATAGCAATATTGCAAGTATTATGATGAAAGTTGCACTGGTTCGCTGTATTTGAAAAAGTAAAACTAATTTTCGGATTAGAAAGGTACTTGACCAACTATTTGGGGTAGATTCATTAATTTTTCTTTTAAAAACATGTAGATAACAAGATTTGCAAAAAGAATAGATTACTGTATTTTACCCATATACCAAATTTTTCAGTCTTTTACTGTAAAGCAAAATTAAAAAGTAGTATATTACAACTGTTTTTCTTAACCTTCTTTTAATTTTTAGGCTTCATCCACTTTACTTCTTCTCCCCTCCCCCTATACCCCCTCTCCATATACCACCTTCCCCCCTCCTCCAAATCTTTTAACCACCCCCCCCCCGTCTTTTACCTCTCCCCTATTTCTTTAAACCCCCCCTATACCACCACATCTACCCCTTTCATAACCCCCTTTGCCTCCTCCCCCTACCCCCTGTTCACTTTTCTTAACCCTTTATACCTCCCCCCCCCCTTACTCCCCTTTCTCAACCCCCCTACACCTCCTCCGCCTTCCTTAATACCAAAAAGCTTTTAAAGCAATGAAAAAATAAGACGAGAATAATCGAAAACAATTAAAAATACTTGAGAAATTTAATTAAACCTAAACTTTTAACCCAAAACACAATTATCACGCCTGCCCTTAGCCATACGAAATTACTATCGGCACGGTAAACAATCAAGGAGAGTAAAATACGGAGTAAGTATGGAGTTGTTTTGGATCCGCCGGAAATTGAATTGATTTTGTAAATAAAATACCTTCATACATTGATGTTGAGTTAAATGTAAGCTGTATGTAGATAAAAAAAGGTACACAAACGAAAAAGTTCTTCATCTGAAGGTCTACCCTATCCTAGTATATCCTGCCATATCATACCGTACCATACTCTCCCCTTACCCTAGCCTAGTCTTGCTGCAAGATCTTAAAATGAATTGACAAGCTAATTGGACAAGACTTCCTTAATCATCATGAACTCTATCAGCTTGCGCTTCTCCATCATAATCGACTGCTTTGACTCGATCTTATCCATGATGATAAGCTAATTAGACAAGATCTTTCTCATCAGTCAAAGCTTTATCCTCATATTTAACTGCTTGAACTAGATCTCCATGACGATGAACTATAATAATTGGACAAGACCTTCTATATATAATACATATTGTATATCATAATGAACTGAAAGTCTGAACTTCATCACCATAGTCGACTGTTTGGCTCCATGATGATTAGCTAATTGGAGAATACTTTCTCTAACATCATGAACTCTATAAGGTTGAGCTTTGCTATCATATTCAATTGCTTGAACTCGATTTTAAACATTATGATTAGCTATTTATGTAGACAAGGTCATCTCCATCATGATGAACTTCATCAACCTAAGCTTCTCCATTCTATTCGAATGCTTAACTCCATAATGATGAGGTAGTTAAACAATAAATATAACAAATAAGTAAATAATGTAATTCACAATACGATTAGCTATACCGCATTTACCATTCCAACAAAAAAAATTGAAAAGTTAAACTTGGTCCTGTAGACTTTAGAAACTAAAATTAGTTTTATCCTAAAATAACAAATACCCCTCCCAAACTCAACCTATAACAATTTTACTATAGCCTTTACCATAGTTCACTTTTTCATGTCAAAAACCTTGACCAAGGTTAAAAAAAAGAATGGCACAAATATATTTATTAGGCTATGATAGACGGTCGGTCATGTTATTTGACTTTACTTCCTTTCGTTTTTGAGTATTTATGAGTTCCAAAAACAACTTTTATATTATTCTGTGGCCACGGAAAGTACAAAAACTCGGTTCTTTACGAATATTTATGAAGTTTACGCATTAAGCTATAGTTATAGGTAATGATGTCAACAAGCATTTGGCCGAACTTTAGGTATCAAATTTTTTAATTTCTTTACAAAATTTGACAAAATCAATCCTCAATAGACAAATTTTTAAAAATTTATTAATTTATCTATTAAATTTAATTTTTACAGGCCTCAAAATCTCAAATTAAAAAAAAATTAAAATTTCAAAAATTTTAAATTTTAAAAAAATAAAGAAATTTTAAAAATTCAAAAAAAAACAAGTTAACATTGCAGTAAAAGTTCCGTTACTTCTGTTTACCATTTCAAACCCTTAGGCCATAAATCTGAAATGTTTTTGGCGCCAAATAAATCTCAAAATGGGAATTTGCCAAACGGACTAATTCGCCGTAATTCGAAAATAAAAAACAAACTGAAACTTGCGTATGATGTTCGGCCGAAGGAGCAAAGATGGCTATAAGAATACGTGAGATAAGATAGGGTAGGTTAATATAGGATAGAGTAAGGTAGGGTATGGTAAGGTTGGATAAGTATAGTAGATTAGGGTAGGGCAAATTCTTAAGTACATTTGTTTATATTTCATAGTGGAAAAGGCAATAGAGTTAAAAATATATAGTTAAAGTAAGTGCTAAAAGCAAGGTTGACTATGTTAAGTTAGGGATGTTGAAAGCTGGGTAGTGAAGAATAAAGTTAGATAATGTAAGGTAGCTTAGGGAAACATAGAGTAGTGTAGAGCAGAACAGGAATCTACACTACCCCACATAGGGTAGGGTAGTATAGGTTCGAATAGCCAACACATCAACTCAGCTCTCCAATATTACATAGACCAGCGCTCCGGCTCCCGCCACGAACTCCCTGATCTCTTGGCATTCCGCACGCATTCGCTCCAACAATTGCCTCAAGGAGAAGAATCGTCAGTCTTGGAACATTTCGCATTTTTGGACGATTTTTTGAAGCGGTCGAGCCCCATCGTTAGACCCGGAATATCAGAAAGGGTTTCTACGTTACTTTTAATACTTTTGTATATATTTTTTAGTTTTGGTAGGTAAATCGTGTGTTATACTATTGTCGGTCGGTTTTTTGAGTTTGGTAAAATTGTTTGTGTTTTTGACCCTTGAGCTAATAGGTTGGAAGGAGCCCCTTCAACTCTGAATGACTTAAACAGTTCGATTGTAGAGTATAGGTAGGGTATAGTAAAGCTACATAGCATATAATATTCATGTCACCTAAAGGTTTATTTTTCAGTTTATTTTATGTGTACTGACACCTTTATGCCTTTTCTTGGATTTGAAACTCATTTCGTTCAATGTTAACCCTACTTCTCTTTTACTCTCTCTTCTATAAATTTTAAAATCCAGCTATAAACATAACTTTTACTAAGCCTAACTGCAATGTTATCATCCAAGGTAGCCCCAACCCCAGAACGTCGAGTTTCCTGGATTTTTGACAATAAGAATCCCAAAACTAATGGTGATAATGTCAGTACGACTAATGAAAAACCCGGTTCTACTGTTCCAAATCAGAACGATGAGAACGCTCAACTACAACAACTTGAAAATAGAGCGAAAGTCTTGACTCAGAACCTGATTCATCAAGAAAACGAAGGTGAAAGTCAGTTGGACGACTTTTTCTTATACACTTCGATCAGTGGCCTCAGGTTTTTACATTCTAAGAACCCGAAGTGGTTCAAGTAGGTATTGTAAATAAAGCTTTAAAATTTGTCATATTTTACAATTTGAAATAAATTAATCGTTTTTCGCATGTGCGATATGTATAGAATTAAGATCAAGGAACGAATTTTACACTATTTTAATTTTTTTTCAGAACCTTGTCCGGCTTCACATTAATACTGAGTTTGTTGACATGTGCTTATCATTCTTCAATTTTTGTCAAAAAATATTTTAATCAAGAAAATGAAACTCAATTCTTTTCAACCGCATTTAAAAATGTGCCATTTCCATCAATCATCGTTTGTCCTATCACAAGACATAGGTAAGTAACTACCTTGCCTTGACTTATCTTGCCTTTCCTTGCCTTGATTTGCCTTGCCTTGTCCAGTCTTTACAGTATCTTTTATTAGTCCAGTCTTTAGTTCTCTTAACCCTTATCGTAACACTACAGTAGTTTTTGTAGCTTTACTATAATTCACACAGTATTCCAAACTCTATTTTCTACTATAATCTATATTGAAAATACTATGCAAATTATTATCTATCTCCTAGTCTATAGAAGCATTCATACACTACTTCCTACCCTAACTTACGTTAATTTATTCTAACCAAACTACCTTACTTTACCTTATTTTATTTAACTATACGTTCTTATATAATGTTATCACTTCCAGAATCCTCCGAGAAAATTACAGTCCAGACTTTGCCCACTTTCTAACGAACTTCTGGATGAGTCACGATGAAGAGCCGGTGATTCAGAATAAGTCTCTACAACAATGGTTAGAAGAGTTGAATAATCAACTTCAACGGATTCGATCGCCACTACATGAGATCGACCAGTTGAATTATTGGAGTGAAAGAGTGGCTAAAATACTGCCAAATACAGCTATTCTACTTAACATCAGTGATGCTTTAAGGATTTTAAAGCCTGATACTCATATTAACAATCACTTTGATTACCATTCGTTCAAGGTTCAGAGCGATCAATGTTCACAATTTTTGGATTTTAGAAATGTAATTTTTTTAATTTTTTTTTGTGAAAAGCATACAAAAATGACTGTATAATAATCAAAAAAAGTATTTTTCAGAATAACACACTAGATGGATTTATTCAATGTAGACTGACAAATGTCAGAGTACTAATTGGTGCAACTTTAAATAGTTATCAGTACTTGTTGAAGACCATAAATGACCCTCCCATCATTAGTGATTATATTTTGCGGTAAGTTACTTTGGACTACTTAGCCCTACTATATCCTATATTAACCTACCCTACCCTGCGTACCCTTCTAACCTTACTCTTCTTACCCTGTTTCATCTTACCTCGCTTTACATACCTAGCCTATCTCTTTCCCATTCTAAGAATGATGTTCGTATTTTACACAAATACACTTTTTACAACAAAAACTAGGTTCATGATTTTATTTTCAGTTGTAAATGGGTTGACATGTCAGATTGCGTACTAAAAACAGTTAACACCACATTGGGGATGCTCTGTATTCAAGCTGGGCCCAAAAATGCGTTTAATATTTCAGGTGAAAGTAAGTAAATACATTTTTATCATGTTAGTTGGTGCCACGGTTTCTAAGGGCTGAAAAGTCGGCACGATTTCGGAGCGGCTCCTTTATCAAAACATACGTTACCAAAGTAAAATTTAGTAATGAAGTACCCAGTAAGAATAGTGATCGATTCGCAAGCCTTCAACAACCAAGCTGACACTTTCAAACCAGATGAAATCAAAGTGAGTATTAAACTTTAAAATGGTTTTAAAAACATTCCGCTTTCGTCAATAAAAACCTGCAAGGAGGCGACTATGCCCGACAGATAAACGGCAGGTACAAGTAGGCCTGGCCCGGCCCCTTTCCAGGACTTTCATTTTTTCAATTCAACACATATTTCTAGGCTTGGAAAAGAGCCACTAAGCCCAGCTCGGCACACATAGGCTAATTCCGTTTTTTTAAGAATAATCAACACTTATTTTGAAGTAAAAATGTTACAGATAGGTTTTCACGACCACGAAACAGAACTACCCCGCCCAACACAATATGCGAGCTTTGGAGGGTCTGAAATGGTTGATATGGACATAACTGTGGTTCAGGATGTATGTAGCGCAAAATACTTTGCATATTGTCATGATTATACTTTTGTGATAAGTTTTTATCATTTTATGATTATTTAAAATTATTATATTGTTTTAGTTCTATCAGTATGGATCGACAAGCTGCCATGCCAATATTGACTTAAATTCAACAAAAAGTAGTGATAAAGGTAAAAATCCATTTTTATCATCTTATACCATTTTGCGTCAACTTTTTCCATTTTGAGTCAACTTTTACCCTTTTCGAGCCATCTTTTACCATTCTGTGTCGTCTTTTACAATTTTGAGTCATCTTTACCATTTTGTGTCTACTTTTACCCTTTTTGTCATCTTTCACCATTTTCCTTTTTGTTACAGTATATTCACAATAACAAATTTAAATTTTTAAAAAACTCGAAATTTTAAAAATTTTTCAAATTCAGTTTGTATTTGGAGAAACTACCGTTTCGATGTGTCATTAAATGACTATGAAAGCACATCTGAAGTCAGAAAACTAGTGAAACCAATAAGAAAAGCAGAGTGGCGCGGGATTGACAAAGTAATCGAAGCTGCTGATGGTGACGTCTTTTATCCACTATTGTAAGTTTATTATGTTGTTTACACTTTAAAAGTAAATCAACCTTACCTTACCCTATCTTACTCTACTTTACCCTACTCTATCATTGTAATAATACTACAGTAGTGCAAATATAAAGCTAAATATAACCGTATTTTACCTACAGATCTCGTCGGTTAAGACGTTTAAACGAAGAATGCATTGACACTCACATAAACCTGGGCAGACTGTTCCATGCCAAGAACAAGGATTATATTGTTGATGAGACCTTTGCTCATCAAGTCAGGTAAGTCAATATTTTTCAAAAATTTTTAATTTTGATATTTTTGTTTCAGTGAAAAAGTAGATCCTATGCCAATCACTTATCCATGTTTAGAAGTGAGTTTTGGTTAGATAAAAGTATTTTCTATTCAATTAAAATTCTCGACAAAGCGACCACGTATTTTACATTTTACGATGTTAACATAGGTGCTATCCTCCACTTTTGCCGATATTGTCTTTAGTTTTTAGAGCCCAATCTACATGCATCTAAAAACAATACTTCATGTAGCATTTAACAAGATTACAACACAAGAAAAAGATTTTATTGCAAAAAATGGCAATAACTATCATGGTTATGCTAGTATGTTCTTGTTCAAAAGACGATTCTCTCATACCAAAACGTTACGATACTATCGGAACAAACAAAACTTGGAACAACTGAACACGGTAAGTTACTGTGCTTTACTCTGCAATAGGGTATTCTATTCTACCCTGCCTTATCCTGCATTAAAATTCTTTTCCTAACCCAGGCCTCATGGTTAATATTTTGAAATTACTGCATAAAAAGTCACATTCCCTATAATAAAAACAACTTTTTAGTACATCAAAACCATCTACAATGCTCTAATAGTATCCTACAACAACATTACCAAAGATCCATCCGTATGCTCCGAGATAAAACCAATACTTCATAACCTTATCCATAACAGCATGTTCTCCATGATGAACAGTCGAAATACGTCTAGGTTTATGAACAATTTTGGTCGAATCACTCAAAGACGTGATGTCAAAGTTATTCAGAAGGATTATGCCAGGTGATCAAGTCATTTTGACACTGTTCTAATAGTGATAGAGATTTATCTTCGTCATGGTCAATATTAGTTTATAGGTTTAATTTAAATTGATGTTTTTTTGAAAAAGATATGTAAGGCTGACCTTCAAGTTTATAAAATCTTATTCTCAATGTATTTCTCCTACTTTCAGCCAAAACTTTCTCCAGATTCAGGTCAGATTCCGCACGCTGGACCGTGAAGTCGTGAGTCATGCTCCAGAATACAATGTTTTTCAGTTTATCGGTAAGTCCATCAGTTTTAAAACTTGAAAACCAAACAAAACTAACACAAAATTAAACTCACATTTCCAGCTGACCTAGGCGGCACTATGGGCCTCTATTTTGGCCTGTCGTTCCTAACGTTCTACGAGTTTTTGGTGTTCATGTTCGTCAAAGACGCTGCAATTGGAAATGAACCTCCACCTAAAAGAAACATAATATACAATAATGAAAAACAAAAACATGCCAGAAGACGAAGAATCCGAGATGTGTTTTCAGCTGAAATGCGCAAACCTAAAGTTGTATAACCACCAGGTTGCGATATTGTAGTAGTTTATAAGTCATAAAAATAAAAATTTTAATACAATTTTTAGAAGTAAAAGAATAAATTAATAAAAGATCAAGTTTTTAATATATTCAACGACATATATTTCGGTAATACCTTTGATAGTTACAAAAGGACAAAATCCGGTGATTTTGTGACACTTCGTTTCAAAAGCCAATAAATCTGCGGTTTTTCGTCTAAACGAAAAAATTATTTATTTTTGAGGAAAATATGGGGGTTGCTTCTTATTCTACAACAATAAACACAGTTTTACACTGTAAATACATATATTTTGAAATGTATAAATTTGTAGTTTTAAGTTTTTTAGATTGTTCGATCTTACACTTGATAGTTCTTGTTTTTCTTTTATAATTTATGCGTTTGGAAGACTGACATGGCTAAAATCTGTTGCAATGTATTTCTTGATAATAAAATACGAGGTTCCGTTTTGTGTTAATTTTTCTTATCTTAAAAAATAATTTTACGTGTTATTATAGTGGTGTAGATGTCGTTTGTTTCACATGATCTGGAATCGCGTAAAAGGCATCTCCGACAGTTAGCAGCTAAACAACAGGAGCTATCAGAGACACTGGAAAGTTTGGAGACACAAATTTATAATTTTGAAGCTTCATATCTACAAGAAACAAGCGATTTAGGAAACATTGTCAAAGGTAAGGTACAGGTTCATATTTTTGTTATATCTTTAGAATTCAACAATTAAAATTAAGATCCTCTTTAGGATTTGAAGGATATGACATAGCGAATCCAAATCCAATACCAGCTCCGCCGCCAGTAGGACAGAAACGGGCATTCACCGAGGAAGATCGTATCTTCTCCTTGACATCCGTAACGTCGCCAGTTTGGGAGCGGATTAAAGACCCGAACTACAAGATTCCAATTGATCCACGGCCGACGACTTCTACCAAATCAACTGACATGTCTACACCGCCTAGTTCAGCGCCTCCTACGCCTGGCCCGGCTTTGAAAAAGTTGAAATTATCAAAAGTTGAGGAAGATGAAGACGAAAAACCGCCAAAAAAACTGAGAGGACGAACGCCACGAAGGAAACGGAACGCTAACAAAGAGTAAGTAGATAGACTAACAAGGGAATGTTACAAACTGCCCATTCGATTTTTAAAAGTGAATGGTACCATGTGAAAGAGCGTAAAAAGTTGACTAGAAGTCTATTTTCAAAAACTGCTAATTTTGCCTTACAAGCCCGCTAGCGAGATTTTAAAATCATTAGTGAAAGGGCCTTATAAGTTGTTATTCTTTCTTTTGGATTATTGTATTTTTAAAAACCTTAGTTTTTACTTTTTTTTATATTTTATTAGACGTAAGAAGCCATTATCAACAAAAAAATCTTTTTTTTGAATATTTAAGTTAATTAACTTTTAAATAAAAAAGAATACCAATCATTTACCCAAAAAGAGAATCGAAACTAAAGTCCATTGATTGCGCAATCACGGCGTCCGACCATTCGGCCATTTGAACACATTTACTTCTCTTTTTTGAAAGAAGCCAAAAGAAAGCGGGTTTAAAAAATCCGTTTTGGTAGTAAAAATTTTAAAAGCTCGCTAGCGGGCTTGTAAAGCAAAATTAGCAGTTTTTGAAAATAGATTTTTAGTCAACTTTTTACGCTCTTTTACATGGTACCATTCATTTATAAAAACCGAATGGGCAGTTTGTAACATTTCCTTGTAAGATGTTTTTAGTATTTTTTGATTGTATTTTGTTTTAAATTTGGCTTTTATAACTTTTTTACAAAGATTTTTAGACAAAGATATGAAAAAAGATTTGTTACCTAAAAAAGCCTATATTTTCAGATAATGTACAGACAGATCTCACGTAATCTTTGGACTAACGGCAATGTATTTTTGTTAACTCACAGTTATTACAGTTTATATTTTAATTATACCTTACAGTAGTAATAAACTTGTTCTAACGATATTACACTTGATTTTTATGCTTTATTAAATAAACGTACGTTGTATCGTTGTTATTTGAGTATAATTATGATTTTTTTGTATTGGTTGACATACATTTTTACTTTTTTTTTGTTTGAATTTGCTGAAATGTGATTTTGTTACTGACTTCAGCTTATATTGTGGTACATATTAACCTTGGTTATGAATGCATGGTTTTAAATTTATTTTTATTGGAAATTTATATGAAAGATAGTAATTCATTGAAAGTATATAGTATTTTAGTTAAAAAGATTTTTTCAATTTGTCCGCAAACTTTTTTTTGCAAAACTATATTGTCTTTGAGGTCACTTGTCAAGGGGATATCATTTTTGTTCTTTTAACTCATTTCTTGAGTGCATTCAAGTTTGTTTTACTGTTTGTTTTGTCAATTTATTTATTGAAGGAGGATTGAGGGCTATTTTATTATAGTTCGACCTTTGTATTTCAAAATAAAATGGATTCTTGTTATTTTAAGGCTTTAAAAAAGTCTTGTCGTCATTTTTTATTGTTTTGGATCATAAAAAACGACAAGACTTTTGTAAAATTAAGTATGTGTGACTCAAGCATATGTATACATATGTTTAAAAAAACAGAATTATTAGGCTGTTCAAATAATTCCGTGCTCCCTCTCAAAGCAAATTTTCGGGGTTAGGGGCACAAAATTATTTGAACAACCTTAATATGTATTTTATATATTATAGTATAATGATAAAAAGCTGTTTGTTGCATTCAACTTCCTTGATCAATACGAAACAACTTGATCAGTTCCAAAAGCTTGACCTTCTGTTTGTGCTGACGTCAATATCCGTTCGATTAGTGCAATTAGCCACGTGTGTTCGGCCGAAACGCATGCTGAATGCCTTTGTTTTCGATAATCTTTAAAGTTTGTTCACGAACCGATCATTATATTGTTTTTGAACGAGTGTTTGGCAACATTTTTTGAGTTTGGCGTTACTATTTAAGTTTTTACATTACTGTAATTCCTATTGGTTTTGCAAGTTTTGTAAATAGATGCTAGTTACAGTAATAACTACTCCATTTACAGTATGAAAGAGTCGACTATAAACAGCTTGTTAGAATGGGCAAAGAAAGAAGGTGCTATGCTGGATATGATCGATGTTCGTTACTGTGGTGAAGATAGAGGTTTCGGAGTATTTGCCAGAAGAATGATACGAGTTCATGAAGTCTTTCTTCGAATACCAAAACATTTAATGATAACTGCTGGGCTTGTCGCTGAAATGCCGGCTTATAAGGAGATTTTGGAACGGTTGGTTGATATTTTTTTACTTTAACAGGTTTTTTGGAAATTTTTGGTATATTATAGTATGAAGAAGTTTTATGTTTTACAGGGTGTGGTAACGTTGGTAGAGCTATGATATTGTTAAAGCAGAGCATACTGCATACTTATATATTGAGTGGTAGGGTAAGGTAAGGTAGGTTAGGGTAGCTTAGAGTAAAGTAAAACAGCTTAGTTTGGGTAGGGCAGGGCAGGGTAGTTTAGAGTATGGTAGGATAGGACAAAGTAAGGTAGTATAAGGTATGGAAAGTTAAGGTTAAACAAGGTAAAGTAGAGCAGAGTAGTGTAGAGTAGGGTAGAGTAGAACAAGGTAGGTTAAGGTAATGTAAAGTAAGGCAACTTTTATAGGTAAAGTAGGACAGACTAAAGAAAATTAGCGCAGGGTACGGTAAAGTTGGTTTAGCTATGGTCATCCTAATGTAGGGGATCGTACTGTAAACTTATACATTGAGTTTTTATGTTGCCTATTTGACTATAAAAATTTATGAATTTTTCAATTTAAGATGAACCGTATGCTAGCCGTATTTTACCCTATAAACCATAAAAAATCAAAAAAAAATCTTTCAGTCACCGCCTAGAAGCCTTTCCAATACTGGTTCTGTTCTTCTATCTCGAGGCCAAAAATCTTCAAAATTCATTCTTCAAACCGTATTTTATGTCACTGCCCAAGAGTTTTGACACTCCATTAGCCTACAATAACTCGACAGTCGAAGAGAACATTAAAATGGATCAGTTACCTAATAGAGCCAAGGAATTACTGATCAAACAACAAAATGAATTCACATATATTAGGGAGCAGGTAGGTTAATATTCTTTGCTTTGTCTGTTAGGGCGGATTATTTGTCATGATTAATATGCGAAAGGCATGGTTAATATACTAACACTAATCAATAGTTGCAATTTGTTCGTTATTTTTTTTTGATTTTACTTTTTTTTGTAAAAAAGATTAGCGCAGGTCGCGGCGGACATGTTATACGACCGATTTTTTAAAAATATTTTTGAAAATAAAAAATTTAGTTATCCCGAGCACTGGACAATACCAATCTAGATATGGACCACCTCAATTGGGCATGGCACGTCGTCAACACTCGTTGCGTCTACTCCGAAAACCCAGAACACCCCTAGTTGAAAATGCCAAACTCACAGATACCCTAGCCATCATACCAGTCATGGACATGTTGAATCACAGCCCAAATGCTCAAGGCTTGGCTTATTTAGACAAAAAGTCGGACTTTTACTGTGTAAACGCGGAATACAAGTGTGTGAATGAAGGCGACGAGATATTCGTATGTTATGGTGCACATGATAATATACGGCTGTGGGTGGAGTACGGGTTCAGCATACCTCACAACATTTTTAATCGGGTGGATGTGCCTAATGGTGAGGGTTTGGGATTTTTATGTTGTTCAAATAATTCTGTGCCTCTAATTCCGAAAATTTTCTTTGAGAGGGGCACTGAATTATTTGAACAATATAATAAATTTTTTTAATTTGAAATATTTTGAAATTAAGGATGCTCAATTTGAATTTTGAAAAAAAATAATTTTGAATACATATTTCTAGGAGTCTTATTCGCTTTGGCAGAAACACTTGGCCTAGACGTATCAGATGAAAAGAAACGAATAATTGAGGAAATGGCTATACCAAAGTAAGTAAAATTCTACTTTTAAAAATTTTTTTGGTTTTAATTTATCAGTTGATTTACATAGTATATTTCTTATTCAGTAGACATTAGGAATGGGCAGGGCCTGACCCAAATTTAGGTCAGGACGGACCTAAAAATTATGGCCCGGTCCGTTCTTTATGTCTATTATTCAAAAGGCTCTTTTTATAGGTAACACCATAAAAAGACAAAAAATTTTACTGTAGGTTCTTTTTAAAGAACCTACTTTGCCTAAGGGTACATTAGCAAAACTTACGTTGCCCAACGGCATTTTATACAAAAATGGCAAAAAGTCTTACTGGAGACGAAACTTATTGATGATGTGGAAAATTTACTGTATATATAACATTTATTACTATATTAAAACCAATCTTTCAGCACAATGTACTTGAGTGACATAAAGCCAAGTTTTGGGATTCAGAAGAACATTGCCATCTTATTAATGGACAAGCTTCAATTGTAAGTGTAAAATACGAATTTTTTTCAGGTTAGGACATTATTCTTTGGTCAAAAATACAATAACAAAAATTTAAAAAATATTTTTTAAATTAAAAAAAAATATTTAAGAAAAGACGTAAAAACTCTTGTCTATGGTTCGATGCAAAATGAAGAAGCTGAAGACACGATATACTTGTTCTTAGAAGCTTTGAAAGGATTGTTAGAGAAGCGGGTAAAGACTTGTTCAACAGCATTTTCTCATTTCTGGACAGAACAAGTCGAGATTCTGAATAATATCATCAAGTTACGAGAGGATTCCTCGGATGACGAATAAACTTTATTTATATAATAGTTTTTAATTTAAAATTAAAAGGCTTTTTGATAAAATATGCATATATCGCTCAAAGGCTTATACTGAGTTGAACACAATACGAAGGTCGTTCCAATGGGATTGGTTGATGTTAGTCCAATCGAGGTCTGCAGTTTTGGTGATTGCGTCAGTCTGGTGCGTTCGTGGCCTTTCTAGTGCTCTTCGAGTTGTAGGGTGCCAAAGGAGAAGTCGGTTTTACTACTTGTCCGGATTAAGGAAGGCTAGTCTCTTTGCCTACTTCCTTTTTGTACGAAAAAAAGGAGAATAACTTATAAATCAGCTTGTTTTATTTTTTTTGTTAGTATTAACTAATTTCCTAGATTTTGTCATTATAATATTTTTAACTTCAATAGAAATTGTAATGTAAAAAAATTCAGAATAACTTTTAAATATATATTTATTGTCACTTTTGTGTGATAAAACTTATGAGATTGGAAAATTATAATATTAACCAGGTTATATAGTTATGAACAAAAAATGAGAGACCACAATATTAAAACAAGTTAACAATGTTTCTACCGCCTTCTAAGTTTCATCATGTTTTGTGCGATTCTCAAGCACTTTGACATGGCTGGTGTCTTCTTCGCTGCAGCTGACTTGAGCCCAGCTTTCGATGTCGAGGCGGACGCACTTGGACCGGCTGGCATGTTTTTGGGCTTTGGGCCATTTTCCTTGTTATCTTCTTCTTTTTTTCTTTTCTTCTTTTCGTTCAGCCTGAGCCCATGCTTTTGGGCTGATTTTGAGCCGAAGGCTTGGCTTTGTTTCGTTGGGTGAGGTGTTCTCCTTCACCTCTACGACTCTTTCTGGCTTCGTCACTTTGCCAGATTTGATGGTTTGGGTGTTGGATTCTGGAGTGGATTCTCTTGGGGAAACCATTTTTAGCTAAAAAATGAACTGGTAATTTAGAGTATATAAAAATATACACTATGAGCGTTAGGGTGATTTTTGCCTACAAGTTAGTGTTAAAAGAAGCGAAGCATTTTTGTTTACACTTGTCAACGTAGGCTATTTTTATAAGGTACCCTTTCGCTCAGGGATGGAAACTTTTTATCTCATATGGATCTTCTAATAGTGTCTTTCAAGAACAGGGCAGTATACCTCTATAGGGAATAAACTGTTTGTTGACCATAGTAAGATTCTACTGAATTACAATAATAGAGTCTTCTTTTTGCAGTGTAAAAGTTATATTCTTACAATATAAGAGTAATATCAACACAAAACAAGAAAATCTTGTTTTATTAAAGCTGTATTGAAGAAGATACGCCAACAATCATTATTAAAGTCATCAACCTACCTTTTAAAAACAAGGAGGCGACGACAACGATCAAAGTGATTGAAAATATATGCTATACAGTGGCAGAGCATATATTGCCATTTTATAAGCGTCGTATTTCTGTGCAGGTTGGCAAATCTCGTCTCTTTATATTGTTGATAGATTTCTTTGAGCCATGTTTTAAATAAACATATTGTTTATACTTTGCTTTAAAGACGCAAAGAAATGGTACACGGTCTATCAACGAAATCGGCGACAACTCAATAAAACCAACTTCGTATATTCAAATATTATTTCAAATAATTTTTTTAAATTCAATTTGTGACAATATTATACCGAGTTCATTCCAAGATTTAACAAAGTTTATTAATCAACAACATTTTTTAATTAGAAGTGTAATAACAATGATAATATCAAGTGTTTTCATAGGATTCATGTTATTTTAGGTAACAAAACTATGATCTTATCAATCCTGAATTTTAAAGGATTTCTGTTTAATTCAAGTGGTCGTACTGAGATCGGCACTTTATCAATATACTTAACATAAGGCATCGAAATATAAACATACAGTAGCAACATAAATACGTACTGTATCAACATACGGATATACTGCATCCACATACGAACATACTGTATCAACATACGTACATACGGTATCAATATACCAACATACTAACATAACAAACAGTTACACCAACAAAGGAAAAAGCTTTATCAAAATACGAATATAAAGAAGGTGAGATGATGTGAGAGTGAAGTTAACAACGCTACAGGTTATATGTCAGTACCATGGCTTACTCAATTATCACATACTAGGCTTTATATAGTACTAAGACGGCCCAGTTCTCGTCACAATTCTAGCCTCTATCGCGTACATATTTTGTCACGAGACCCCATTAAGCAGACACTGTATCACCTCCACATTGAAGCTATAAACACTTTTAGGCACCAGTATTACCAAGACCCCAAGGGTTGATTCCGATTGTCACTGATGACAGATGGGGGTGGTTTGTTGTTGTATCGTTTGGTTCGGAGGTAGGGTCGGCCTTCTTCGTTGTAGCGTTGGATCAGTTCGATGGCTTCGTTCACTCGCTCGATTGGTGGTTCGACAAAGATCACCTCTTCGATTGGCTCTTGATCTTGTGCTGGGAGGGCGAATGTGGCTGAAAATCACAATTTAAAAAAATTTTTAATTCAAAAACCGAAAATTTAAAATATATTAGGTTGCTCATATAATTCTGTACCCCTAACCCCTAAAATTTGCTTTGAAAGAGGACACAGAATTATTTGAACAATAAAATAAAAGAACAAAACCATCCATAATGATATGACTTTAAAGCCCTACCCTTCAACTCCAGCAAAGCTTCAGCCGGTAACGTTGACCCAGTTTCCTGCCGCGCTTGTCGAAGCTGTCGATGTTCGAATTCGTCCGCCGGTGGGACAATAACCACACATTTCCTCAGGAAATCGTTGAATACTTGCAGCTTTCTCTTCCTCGCATCCCGCGACACATTCGTCTGGTCGATAATGTAGTTGTGTCTTCTTCTACACGCTAAGCCAAAGCTTCTGTTCAGGGCTTTAGCCGCCAGACCCATTATCATGTCCCAGCGGCCGTTGTGGACTCGTTTCCTTGGTACCCCATTCACCTAAAGTAATATGTTTTGGTGGATTTTGATTTTTAAAAAGCAATTACTAGTGTTTCCTTACATTATCCTACTATATCTAACCTACTGAACCTTACTCTACTCTACAATACCTTGTCCTACTCTACAATATCATTATCTATCCTATCTTACTACTTTATCTTACCAATTATCGTGCCCTAGCTGTCTCTATCAAGCCAAATCTTACTCTAACTTGTGGTTCAGTACCCTACCCTACCTATTCTACCCCATAATACCCAAACATACGATCCCCACATAAACATCAACATTCATCCTTACTTTCATCAAGTTGATCACATTCTCCGTGTTCAGTAACACCCAATGTTCGTTGGGATGTTCCCTCAGATAATGTCTAACCCAGAACGTTTTCCCAGCCGCTGGCAATCCGACCATCATCAGCACGGTGCAATCACTTTTGGAATCCGGTGGTCGGATCGACCGTTTCAGAATCGACGGACTCCGCTCCAATTGACCGATGAATTTCACGTTTTTATGAAGTAATTGGGGCGGTAACTCCCATTTACAGTCTGGTTCTGGTTGTTCCAGGCCAAAGTTCACATACAGCTTCATGTTTTTGATTCCGATGTGAGGGAAGATGGCATCGTCAGGGGCTCCAAAGTCGAGGTTTTTGTAGACAACACCTAGGTCTTGCTGGTTTAGGTAGACGCGCATTTCGGAGAGCTCCAAGTTCTGAAAGATATTGCTTTAATTAACAACATATTTAAAAAAATAAATCTTTAGGTAATAAAAAAATCATTTTAGACTAAAAAAGAAGTGTTTATCAATTTTCATAGCTGTTTAGGTAACAAAATATTCAAAAAATTATCAATTTCCACCCAAAATACCAATTTCTTACCAAAGCCACAGTAATAACATCGTCCATCAAAGCCTGAGCCCCAAAATCCAAAAACAGATTCCCGGCCGCCTTTCTGCCCAGCCTCGAGTAACAATAGGAATGTTCGGCTTCTCCGACCGGTGTTTGGACACTCTCACTCGACCATCCCACCCTCAGGTCGTAGGCGTCGACCTCTTCGAAGGGTAGGTGCTTCAAAGTGATGAACTCGCCAATCTTGACCTGATACACTAGAGTTGGGAAGCCTTCCACGTCTTTGGGTATGATTAGGCCGTAGTTCGACCTTACACATCCCCACATTAAGGCAAAGCCATCTCCATTGTCCGGATCGACCAGCCACTTGTTCTTGGGATCAGCCTTGATGTTCATGTCAGCATTGTAGTAGTCGAGTTCGATGCATTCGTCGTCGGGGAGACGTTCCTCTTCGATCGGCTTGCCTTCCTTTTTTCGGGACATGCCTTCAAGATAATGAAAAACTTATTAACATAGAGTTGATCAACATTTTTTGTTAGAACCGCATGCTAGACCAATCAAACTCCCTCACCCCTCAAAAATTCCCCCAAACCCTTACCTGCTGCCATTTCGAACAGTGCATCATCATCGTCCTCATCCGGTACTGGTTCTCCGTGAAACTCGGGCATGGGTTTGGCTGGTTCTTCCACAACATAATCTTCATCTAGTTCCATTTGCTCTATCTCTACTCCACTTTTGTTGTTGAAGCTCTTGATGAGGATGTCGGCTCGCTTCAGCAGATTCCGTGGGTCTTTCATCAGGGCTTGAATCGTGGATTCTTCTTGATTCTCTTCTGGAGCGCCGTTCTCTTTGGGTATATCCACTTGTAGTTTCGATGTTTTCTTCTTTACTCGTCCTTCTTCGTCTACTTCTAGCTCTTCTCCTTCGTCGTCTTCGTCTTCACTATCGAATTCGGAATCTTCCGCGTCTTCGCCAGCAATTTCGTCTTCGGAATATTCTGAAACTTGGTGTTATTATAGGTATTCTTGCGAAAATTATAATGTTATAGTAGGTTCATCACAAGGAAATTCTGATCCCTTAGTAAAACATTTAAAAAAATCTTTTTAAAATCAAAAACTTATACTTCCCATGCTTTACTTTATTCATTTAGGTAACAAATAAACTAGATTAGCTTTGCAAACGTTCCAGACCCGCAGCCCAACTCTCAGGCCTCAGTTCAACCCAAAGCCAGCCAAATCACAAAGGATACTAACACCATCTTACCTTCCTGACTATCGACCGTGGTCATTCCCTCGTTGTTACCATCAAAATCTACATCAATATGAAGTTCTGACGTGCAGGCTTCATCGTCCTCAACACAAATGGTTTCATTGACCACGTCCGGTTCGTAGACATCTTCTGAATCAATATCCAACAAAGAATCGTGTAGTCGCATTCTAGCCGAGGCTGATATTGATGATGCATGTTCGATTTCAAAGGTGACTTCCTCCACAATCGCCAATATAACACTCTTTACCACGTCCTCCACGGATCGTACCGTCTCTTCTTGCTCTTCCTTCACGTCCAGGTTGTAGACACTCGAACTTAGCACACTATCAACCATCAAATCCGTGGGTAGGACTACTGATGGGCATGAGACATCGTCGACAGTCAAAGTGGTACACTCGTTAGTAGGTACTTCAACCTGAGCTTCGTTCTTTGAGGTTCTTGGGCCATCTCCAAAAGCTGAGGGTGCGTTATCTTTACCAATACTGTACATAGCAAGCTTATCATCAACAGGTGTGTATGCTTCTGAAATTGAGTTTGGTTCTCTCATCGTGGACGCTTCAGACGTCTGAGAATGACTTGTACGATCTACTGAAGACTCCATTATCATATCTTGATTCATCTCCTCAATAACATTAGTTAATACTGTCCTTGGGGCATCCCCAGCCCCGTTTGTAGGTATTACATCTGGTAAAGGAATGTCATGAAGACTGGTACCAAGCATACCAGTAGTACCACTAAGTCCATTTTTATCCAAAACACCAGTACTATTTTTTCTAGTACCACCAGCACTAAAGTTGCCATCAGCACCATAACTTGCACCACCAGTACCATAACTTGCACCACCAGTACCAATCGAAGCCGTCCCTGTCCCAAGAGGCCCAGTTCCAGCCGTGACATTGACTCCAATATTAGCAGGCAGTGCAGGCGGTGGTATGCTGGGTATGAAGGGTGGTGGTAGACCATAAGGTGCATAAGGAGGTAAACCAGGCAGTGTCATCGTTGGCGGAGGAATCGACATACCAGGCGGTGGAATTGTAACTCCAGGCATACCAACCGGTGGTGGAAACGGCGGCGGGAAGGGAAAGCCCGGGGGTGGTGGTAAGAATGGCATAGCTGATGGCGCTGGTTGAAGTGGTACAAAGGTGACGGCGGGTGATGGTACAGTTGTAGGTGGCTTGGTGGGCGGGGTTTCCCATCTGGAGGCTGAAAAATGAAACTTAAATAATGATTTTCTAAAATTTTAATAATTTATAAAAAAAATTAAAAAATCGAACTTTTAAATTTTTTTTTGATTTCAAAATTTAAAAATAAATTTTCAAAATTACCTCGTTTTTCAGTTTTAATTTTGGCCAAATCCGACGGTGACACCAGCTTCGGTGGACTGAGTGGTACCTTTGGCAGAGCTGGGTACTTGCTTTTCGTTGCCAATGGACTGATTTGAGAGACTTTCCGTTGTCCTGGCAGTTCAAGCCGCTTTAGTCTGTCAGCACTTCGCTCTACACCTGGAAGATCTTGAGATTCAGCTGGAGTTGAAGATGTTGTTGGAACAGTCATGATATTCAAGGGGTCTCGAGGGTTCACGTTTGGTAGGGGAGAATTCGGTTGACTTTCATTTGATGACACTGGAAATAAAAAGTATGATTAAAATAAATTATGTTATTCTACCTTGCATTACTCTACCTTATATTCCCCTACCAAATCCTATGCTCTTCTTCCCTAACACACCTTATCGTACCCTATAAGCCCTTACCCTATTATAACAGTCTTCACCCCACCCAAAACATATAAAACATCATTCAAATAAACCTACTCGTATTAGTCCTTGGCCGTTTCTCGAGCGGTCCAAGCAGAAACGGTGACTGTCCACTGATCCTTCGCTTCTCCAACTCAAACTTCTGAAGTTCGTTGGCCTTCTCCTGTTCAGTTTTATTGCATTCCTTCAGTAGAGCGTCCTGACTTCCGAGAATCGAATCCAGAAGATCAATGCCAGCTGGAGCATGTCTTTGCGGAATGGTCCTCTTTCTTGGTACTCCTGCAGTAACTGGACTGGCAATCTTCGAGGATCGGCCTGGCGTTGGTGAGCCGGTCGATGAACTCAGTTTGGAGATCTTCCTTATTAATAGAGCCGGCTTCGACTTTCTGGATTCATGACTCTTCTCCTGACTCGACCGTTCCTTCATATCTGATGGTGTAGGTGTGGAGCCGGCGGAAGAAGATGGTGAGAAGTCGTCAAGCGTGATGATCTTCAGTTCTTGTCGGATGTCACGAGGTTCTGAAGTCTTCAACGATAAACCTTCTTTTGATTTTTGGACTTTTATACTCAAGGGCTTGACTTTAGGTACAGTTGAGTCCACCGTGCTGGCTTCTGAAGTCATTTCTTGACACGACTTGGCTTCTGTTACTGTAGATACTTTTGATGTTACAGTAGATACTACAGAGTCACCAGCTCCTGTTGTTACTGAAGTTCCAGCTACTTGATTGAATATCTTCTTCACCGTGCCGTCTGAAGTCTTCGTCGTCACAGAAAGTATTGTCATTTTAGACTTCCGGGCAACTTTTGTTACCTTTGGCGGTGACGCTACTATAATATCGTCTTCAAATTCTTCCACTATTTCAACCTCCGCTTCATCTTTTCTCGCTTGCTGCTTCTCTACTTTATCTTTTATTTGATCTTCTCCACTTTGTACTTGATCGTCTTCTTGTCCTTCTTGTTCTGCAACTTCTTCTGTACCTTCTGTCCCTTTGCTATGGCCCGCATCTACATCTACGATCTTCTGCGTTGATTTTCGAGTCGACCTTCTTCTCTTTTTAGGCAATTCCACTGCCGGTTCATCTACTTTATCAACTTCCATCGGTTCTTCTTTATAATCCTGCACTTCTACAGCTTTTTCAACCTGTTCTGCTGCTTTCTTTCCTCTGATTGACCCTCTTTTAGCTGTTGTTTTAGTAACCGGCGATGAAAGTCGACAGCTTCTGCGCTTTATGCGTTCTGATCTTGTGTTAGCCACAGGTATTACCGGCGCCTCTTCTTCTGGAGCTTCTGCTTCAACATCTAAGACTTCTGAATCCTGTTCAACATTTTGTGTAGAATCTTCAGCTTCTTCTGTAGCTGGTTCAGCGGCCTCAACCTCTTCAGGCACATTCTTCTTAGCTCTACCTCGTTTAGGCTTCGGTGTGACTACTTTTTTCGTCTTTACAGCCGGTTTTTGTTCAATCACCTCCTCTTTAGCTTCAATAAGAGGCTTGACATCTTCTTCATCTGCTACAGCTTTTCCCAACAAGACAGCTTCTTCCAATCGATCGGCCAAGATCGTCTTGTTGCCAGTCGTGTCCAATCCACGAATTCTGAGCTCTTCTCGAAGGCGAGCTACTCCCAACAGTTGAATCAATGTTGGATTCAAAGCTGTTCCTTGTTTCTGACCAGCTGAACGTCGAGATCGAGTCGACATGTCTGAAAATACATTTTATATTAGAGTTTATAGTAGTTTTACAATTTTTAGGTAATAACCGCAAACAACACGAATAAATAACAACAAAATAGTTTAAAAAATCGTTTTCTAAAAATGCTAAAATCAAGAGTAACACCTTCAGCAATGTTATACCTAGCTTTTATAATATAAACCATCAAGAAATCAGCTTTTTCAAACAAAACCGATCCAGAACCTGCAAAACATAGAACCTGAGTTAAAACAGTTGCTATTCACCGTATTTTACCCCGAATCCATAACAATAATACCACATCAAGTCCAGAAACAATATAGACACCTAAAAACCAACACAAAAACATTAAAATTTACCGTTTATCCTTTCACAACTCCCTTAACGTGATATACCTCAATTTCAAACCTTAAAAAACAAGTAGATTAGATAGATTTGAAAGTAAAAAATATTTTAAATAGTCACAAGCAACATCACTTTCACTTTTAAGTCAATTTATGGATTCATATGTTCAGAAAAAATCAAAAAAAACTCGACGCAAAAATAAATTTTGTTAGGGCGCGAAGAAATTGCTAACTGCGGAGAGTTTTATACTATGAAAAGTATTAAAATACTTTCTTTTTCTTGTCGATTGAAATTCATGTAGAATAAACACTTGTAAAGCACATATTAATGTTGTCGAAGGTGATTTTAACTTTTAAAATATTTTTTAGTTTTTTACATTTTTTTATAATGTCTAATATCTGTTTACTTTGACGAACTACTCTATATTATAATATTATTTATTTAATTTTTAGACTTCGCACAAGTCGAAGAATGAAACGGGTACTCCTGCAGCTTCAGGAACACGAGGATCTTTGAGTTTTTTACATAAATTGAATCCACACAATAAAACTTCACCAACTTTGCCGGAAAAGTAAGATCTTTGCTTTTTTTTTCTTGATATTTAGGTAACAATTGGAGAGTAAAGATTATACTCGATAAGATTATTAAAATGCATATCATTTTTTCTTATTTTTTTCTTAACAGTTTTCACGGTGATTCATCTGAATATAACCCTTTATGTTACTTTAGTTCATTCGCTGTCCAAGTTGAGCAAATTGACAAGAACACACCGGTAGATTCATTGAAGTTAACACCTGAATTAAAGCCAACAGCTATTGCTGATGTCCAAACACCTGCAGACGAGGTTTGGTTCGAACCTCATACAGATCCGAACAGAACTCATCTTCGGCCAGGTAGTATAATATCAGAAGGTCCATCGCCATTGGAAAGACGGGCAAATGAGCGAGAAGCTGTTCAAATAGCATTGGAAAAGCATCTTGAAGATTTTAGAGGCGGAAGAATGAGGGCTTGTAAGTTATATTGATTTAGTTTTATTGTTTTAGATTGGACTAAATTGAGGTATGTTAGGTTTTTTGCTTGAAATTCGATGTTTAAAGGTATGGTTGTCAGTGATTATTCTTTGTTATGATAAAGAATGTGATTTTAAAGGTTCTTTTCAGTGAACGACGTACAAGTTAATAAAATGCAAGCAATGCACGAAAGCCAATTGAAATTAACAGCCTTAAGGCAAGCTTTGACTGAAATAGACGATCCATTACAAGACTTGGACATGGATGAACAGTATGCTGAGATAGGAAAGTGTTTGGATGAGCTACATCAACAAATAGTTAGTTTTGGAGAAGTTAATTCAGGTATGTTATTGCTGTTTTATTTATTTTAATGTTGGTACAAAGCGGTTTTCTTAACTTGATATAGGAGTTTAAACACTATTTTTGGCTCATGTTTATAATATTTAGGTGAAGACTAGTCATTGCCAGTTCGGTCACAGCACAGACATAATTATTCTATAAATTTTGTCGGCAAAACTATTGATTTGTAATTTAAATTATATATAATAGTAACTAACACTGTGATATACTGTAAATAAACTGAATTTTATGAATAATCATCGAGTATCAAAAGTGGACCAATAGTACCAAAACATATTTAAAAAGAAAGAATATAAACCTAAAAAGAGAAACAAAAGTTTATTTCCTCGAGAATCACATGTTGATACTGCTGATGTATTCGATTCCATCGACGATGATTCGGCGGATTCTGTACAAGGGCATATCGAAAATGGCATGAACATCTCGGACTAGTCCGGTCGGCTCGCTGACAGAGTATTTGATGTGCAGTATGACACCGTCCGGAGTTAGTTCTGTCTGAAGATAGGTAGATTAAAGTCTTCGCGTTTTTCAACTAAGAAAACAATATAAATCGACGACAAGACTTTTTAAAACGCATGAAAATAAAGAAATCAAATTTTTAAATTCAAAACCCACATCAAACTGTGGAGTCAGAGTGACATTCTCCAGAAGTTTCCGTCCAAAATGTGGAACAGTCAAGGGATTGGCACAGGAACAGCTGAGGATGCAGTTCGAGCACACTCCATTAACTGGTCGTCCTCGTCCAACAACATGACCTTTGTCCGAGAACTTTTGAATTGATTTTGAACTTCTTGAGTCACTGGCTCGACTCTGATCAGTCGAACTTGCAACAGTAGATGAACTCCGACCGGTCAATGTTGTTCTTGAAGCCGGACTTTGGTTGGTCGAACTTGCTCTAGCATGAGTGGATGAACTTCGACCAGTCGATGTTGTGTTAGTTGTCATTTTCGAAACATTTGTCATGCTTCGACCGGTTGATCTTTTGCAGACTGGCATTCTCAAGTTAGTGGTTTCAGTGGTACTGTTCTCCTCGTCCGACTGGTACAGTTTGGCACGTTGGTTCATGTACTGCTTCATCTCGTCGACCATTTCTTTGGTGGGGGAGGAGTGGCTTCGGCAGGGACTGTCTGCCCACGCCGGTTTCTCTTTTGGAGCTGGTGATCTGGAGTCTTGAGATGCTACACTGGAGCTACGAGATGGTACCAATTGGGTTTGAAATGGTACTATGCGCAATTGTGGTGCCATGTGGCCTTGTAATGGTACCATGCCGCCTTCATATGATACCGAACTAGTCTCTGATGGTACCCTCAAGTCTTGGTTTGGTCGTATCTTGGTACTTGTAGCAATGGGAGAGATGCCTTGCCTTCTGGCTCTTCGACGTCGTACCGTGACGATGGAAATGTCATCTTCTGGAGACTTGAGGGTGATGGCCGTGACCAGTGGCGGAGAATCTGATCTCTGAGTCTTCTCTGGAGATATCTCTGTCATTGTTATCAAAGCCTGATCAATGTCCACCATATTGTCATCCCTTTTGTCACCATGATTAACATGTCTTCCATAAGCTCTAGTGCCATTCTTTTTCATACCCTTTCCGTTGATTCCATCCATTTTTGTGCCATTTCTCATGTTATGACGATCTCTTTTGACACTCTCGTTCGGGGAATTGACTGGAGTTCTAGGCTGAGCCGGTACCATCGGAGTACTAGTTATGTAGATTGGAACCGGCTGGCTACTGAACGGTGACGGAGGCGTCGAAGCCATCGATACATGAAGCGGGGGTTCTTGGAAGACTTCCGTCGTTGAGGATGAAGCATTTGGATCCTGAGTCCTTCTGGAGTTGGGTGAAAGGGCGTCTGGAGGCAGATTCAGAATCCGACGACCATCGTACTTGCTTCCTCTTAGACTGACTTGATATGGACTGGCTTCTGAAGTCAGATACTGCTGACTGTGGCCAGATTCAGAGGGTTGACTTGTGTAGCCAGGACTGGATTCAGAAATCAAAGTTCCTTGACTTAACCTGGTTTCAGAAGTCGGAGTGACGTAGCTGTTACTGAATTCTGAAGGTAAAGTCACGTAGCTTTTGCTAGATTGAGAATTTGAACTGCTGTATCCGTATTTCAATTCAGAAGCCAATTTTCTTTGATTCCACCTGGATTCAGAAGGCTGACAAGATCCTGCCCTCACCTCTCGTGCTGCCTCGGCTATATCATCAAGATTCTGCTGGTTACCCCGATGATTCGACCAGTTCTGACAACCTTCATCATGTGGACTAGAATCATTTCCTGGAGTAGTAACAAGTCGATCTCCGAGGACATTGTCATCAACTTGGTCATCTTTCTCTCTTCTTTCTGGTCCATTCTTCTGATTCTTATCTTCCAAGACTACTGAAAGAGCACGGTGGTCTTCTGAAGGCTGACTGAAGTCGTAGATTGATTTTTCTTCCTCTTCTGATGGCTCTTTGCAGGTACAGTACCTACAATAACGTAAGTTATAAGAAAGTAGAGTAAAGTATGTTGGTTCAGGGTAGGGTGGCGCAAAGTAGAGTATGATATGATGATATAGGCAAGGTAGGGTAAGGTGAAGTAAGGTAAGGTAGGGTAATGTAGGGTAAAGTTGAGTAAGGTAAAGTAAAATAAGGTAGAATAGCGTAGGGTAAGGTGAAGTAAGGCAGAATAGAATAAGATGGGGGTAGAGTAAACTTGAAGATGAAATCTCACTTCCTAGTCAACATCTTGCTCTGCTCAACCAACTTGCAGAGTTCCTCTTGAGTTACATGTAGATCATCATTGGGATTGATCAAGTTCAGCTCTCTGACCAAGAAATGCCGGTCGTTTAGACAAACCACCCGATCTGTACACTCGACCGGTATCAGACTCTGCCCCCAATTCGAGCTGTGTTGCTCTGAAATGTCATTTTCACAAAAATATGGCATAAACTGGGAGATGAAGTCATTTTCAGTGAAAAAAGCACTGAAATCGACTTCATTTTTTGTTTTTTTTAGTTTGCCTAAGGCTCTGTTAAGTTTTTACTGTTTTAAAGTCAAGTAATGACCATTTAACATCAAGTGTGACAAAACATAAAGTTATATCAAGCATAAAATTAAAATTAAAAAAAGAATTACCAGTAAAAGCGGCACCTTGTTGATCATCACTGGCAGATATTGCACTACTTTTCGATCTGACTGGTCTTTTGACAACAATTTGTGAGGTTTTTCTGGCTGTATTACTTCTGGCTCGACGTGATTTGTCATCAGTTTTGTGATTTCTTGAAGTTGGATACAGTATTCTGTCTGATTGGCCTCGTGGATACTGTAGTTTGAAGTTTTTGATAAAATAAAAGTTATTAGATTGTTCAACTAATTATGTGCCCCATAACCCTTTAAATTGTTCAAAAAAATTCTGAGCCTTCTAACAACAAAAATCTGCTTTGAGAAAGGCTCAGAATTATATGAACAACCTTATATGACAATTTTAAATCCAATATCATACTGAAACTACAACGTTCATGATCTTAAAAATAGTACCACTTACCCCACAAGACGTGTCTGAAGACGATAAGTGTTGTCGTTCACTGGATACGGAACAATCTTGTCCATACCGGTCGATTGTATTAGCACGTTGAGAGAACGGCTTCTGAAATAACGTCAGATTACATCTTCAAAAACGTTTTAAAAATATAATACTGGGCAAAAAGTGAATAGAAACAAGTGTTTTTACGTTTTTTAACTCGATGTTTAGTTATAAAATACAATTAAAACTGTCATAAAAGTCTTGTCATCAAATCTCACGGGTTTGCCCGGTCAAAAACGACAAGACTTTTGTGGTACCATGATTTTTTCAAAGTTATACAAAAGATAATTTTTCGTATTTTACAACATTTGTCGGTTCCATATAAGCACATTTTAGCCCATTCTTCAAACCTACAACAATATAAACCTACCTTGACTTGTGCATCAACCAGTCGTTCGTACAATCGGACGGTGGCTGAACTGGCTTGACTGGCAAAGTTGGATTTGGTTTTCTTGTGATTCATTTCGCGACAAACCGATCGCTTCGGTGATTTGCAAAAAAGTGGCAGATGGTTTCAAAAGTTTTGTCAAAATTTTCATTTTGCATAATAAACTTGGTTGAAAAAGAAGCTTTCTACTACCTACCACACCATATACTTTCATACCTTACTATAATATATCATACCCTACCATACCCTATACTACCCACCATACCATACTCTACCATAGAGCAATGCCCGCTTTGCGGGCGACACTTCGCATTACGCATCTTGCAATTGTGATTTTTGGCACAGTTGCAGTCCAGACCTGTGCGTTTTTTTGTGCAAATTTTTGCATTTTAAAGTTGCACTTTAAGGTCGTTATGAATTTTCAAAAATCAGCATTTTCAAAGATATAAATTATTTCTGACAACGGAATTTCGTGAAACACCCTGTACATAAAATGTGGACACTTCGCGAGTGGGCATATAGCCTAAAATAATTTACTATTACAGTTTATTATTGTTTATTTTACCGGACATAAAACGTGACAAAAATGTTAAATTATTTAAGTTTTGTTTTAAATAATACAAATTTGGTAAATAACTAAAATCAGTAATTACTTCAATAACTTGAGTCTGAGTCGTAAGAAACACTCATGTTTTCTTCCTGCTGCTCGGTGTAAAAATCGGATATAGCCGCGGATATTGTAAACTTGGTATACCAAACTTCTAGACATTTGAAGGTCAAATAGTCCATTTTCAGTTTTCTTGCCAAATGTAGGCATTCTTCAGCGCGGTCTTCACAAATGTTCTCCAACAATTGGAGCTCGCATTGAAGCTAGAACAAGCAATTTTAAGAAAAAGACAGTAATCAACATTAAATTTGAATAATATCCATAAAAATCGTGAAAAGAAACCACAACAACACAGAAATCGGAGATAGACTAAATCCACTATCAAAAAACTACCATAAGAAGCTTGATTTCATATCGGTGAGCAAGCTGGATCACTTTCATAGCCAGATTTACAGTGTCAACTTTAGTATTTTGATGTATAAACAACAACATGGCTTTTACTGCCTCAACATCGTCTACCATCACCAGCTCTCCTCTCTGATCTTCTTTCATTCCGGATGTGAACATAGATGCAAATACTGGAGACTTTTGGGCCAAAAAACACTTTGATACCTTAAACATCAAATGTGATAAACAAAGCCATAGAAATTATGAGGTTGTTCAAATATGAATGCTCATTTTTTTCAAATATAAATTGTTCTAAAATAACAACACTTTTTGTATTATACTTATTCTATACTGCGACATTAGAATTTTGTCTACGTTTTAAAACTATTTTTACACATGTAGCTCCATTTTTAGAGGTTCTGGATTTTTTCAAAGTTTTTTAAGCAAATTTAACTATGTACATCAAGCTTGCCGGCAGCTTTCTGAGTTGTAAGCAGGGTTGGCAATAGGGCAGGGCACGGAACTGATTGAGCGATTTCTTTGCAGGCGATCCAAAATATTTTTAAAAAAATATTTAAATACAATTTAAATCGTTGAGTGTCTAACAAGTAATGTTACCTTTCCGACCTCACCCCTGACCCTTTTAGCCCTACGCGACCTTACCGCCACCTATTGTAGCTTTTTTTAAATTTTTTCAAAATTTTAAAAATTTAGTTGGACCGGGGTCCAAATTTTAAAGTTAAGCTCTCAGAAATGATCATTCATAATATTTGGACAACCTGATAACTTTACAAAACTTATCGAATATTTTACGTGTTCATACCTAAACAGCACATGAAATACTTTAAATAAAGCTAAAGAAAAGAAAATTGGCTAGAATTATAAATGACTGTAAATTGAAGCAAGAAATATCTTTAACGCATGAATCCGAGATGATACCTAAAAAAATAATAACTCAACGAATCAACTTACAAAAACGGTTTCTGAGCCGCATAGCACTTTAAAACTGCAAAACCGTGGATTATTAAAGACAACCGTGTCGTTCCGGTGCTCCACAACTTCTAACATGGGGCCTAAAAATTATATTATCCATCATGATTCAAAAATACAAAACACGTTAAAAACCTTAAATATTAGCTGATAAATCAACACCATGCATACCGTTGTGTCGTAACGAACACATACAAAGTTTTTGTATAATATTCTGACAGCCAAGAGTTTTACAACAAAAATATCAGGTTATCTTAATTTTCAAATAACGAATCCTTCCACAAATCCGCTTCTGATTCAAATTTAGCTTTGCTTGAGCCATATCAGCTGATATAGCAGTCAAATTCGCAGCAAGTATTACTCAACAATAACTCTATTACCTTACGAAAAAAGTGAAATATCAGAATTCCAGAAAATGCGCAACTTTGTTCTGAAAATGTGTCATAAAAACCTTTGATGTTTTGAAACGTCTATAAAATGCGTCATAAAATATAAGGATCAAGATAATTAATTTTTGAACGAAAAAAGCAAAGAAATTTGATCAAATTCAATGTTTCAATGGACAAATTACAAGCTTATATTTCCAGAGGATGATTATTGGACACTTTAGAATGTTCTTCAGCTGATATCATCAAAGATTCGACCAAAAAAGCTGTAAAAACAAGGAAAATGCGGCTTGAGGCTTTGCAACCATGGATAAGATAGAGAATGGATTGAAATGAACATGAAGATGTTGAAGCTGGATTTAAATGAACATGAAGTAAATGGAGGACGGGTTGCAATTAAAAAGTAAGTTATTATTTTTTAAGGTTATATTAAGGTTGAGTTATTTTGATTTTTTTATGAACTTGAGGTTTATTGAGTTTTTTGTGTTAAATTTACTATCAAATCTTGTAACATTTCCAAAAATTCATGTAGCTCAAATTTTACTTTGTTAAACAGAAAACACTTTGCGAAACGCCGCTAAACCAACATCATCATATCGATATTATTCTGTTTTTTGTAAAATTCTTGATCTTCCGGTCTTTGCTTCCTTTTTATCAACCACCCCGGCAGGCAGAACGACCACTTCCACAAAAAAAGTCGTGCAGATAACGCAAAAAACTCGTCTACTAAAAAGTAATGTAAAAAAAGTGTTTTGGAATATTACACAGTGGCATCAAGATATTATCATTGGTGTTGTTTGTCTTGTTAAAAAATTTTTGGGTAGGGGGAGGGAATGATGGTTATATTATGTTAGGGCAGGGCAAGGTAGGACAAGGCAGGGCAGAGAAAGGTAGGATAGGACAGGTTAGGGTAGAGTAGGGTGAGGTAAGGTAGGATGGGGTAGAGTAGGGTAGGCCATGATAATAAATATTAACTGTTATGACAAACTTTCCCAATAATACTACTACTTTTTATGACTTTATTGTAATGATAATTACAGCAAATTTTGGCGACAACCTACCAAAACTGAAGCCCGCAACACTTGCTCGATAAACAACATTATAAATAATATTAATCAACAACCTGTTTGAGTGTAAACCATTTGTACTTATACGTTGACACGTGACATAAAGCAGTAGTAATAAGTGGTGAAAGTGGAGGTTTTATCGTTTCTGGAAGTTGTTTTTCATTTTGGAGGTAGTTTTAAGGTTTTGGAAAGTTTTGTCTCGCTTTTTAATGAAGAACAGTGCAAATTTACGACAAGACCTTTTTTACTTTATAGTTATTGATAATTGATTGTGATCTCTTAAATTCTTTAATACTGTAATTTGTTGCTGCCTTAGAACAACATTGTTCAGAGTATCATTACTTTCATATAGCTTTACATTACATACGTTATAACAATTAAGGTTGTTCAATTAATTCTTTGTCCCCTCAAAAAATATTTTTTTCGGAACTATGGGACACAGGACTATGTGAAAGATCTAACATAAAATAATGTAGGTATTGACACCCACAACTGTTTGAACCAAAGACTTTTGCGCCAATACCGTCGACTGACCTTGACGGTTGTTATATGTGTCGGGTTATTATCACGTTAAAACGAAACAAACAATAACGTGGAACGTTCAGCGCGAAATCCAACTGACAACCACCTGATCAATTACCCGTTAGTGTCAACTTTCCTTAAACAAACTTTTTGTTTCAAATTCTTGAGATGATTTTTGAAATTCGAAGAATTTTTTTAGATTTTCAAAAATGTTTTTTATGTCTTGAGGCGTTTTTTATGAAAAAAGTGAAATAGCAGTAGGACTGGGTAGCAAAAATAGCCTAGAGAAATATGTTAGGCAGCAAGGCAAGGCTGAGCAGATTAAAGCAAGTCTGGGCAGGGTGAGGCAAAGCAGAGCCGACTAGGGTAGGGTTTAGCTGGGGCAGAGTATTATAGGGCCTCTAAACAACACTATTTGAATTAGTACGGTAACGCAGGATGGAGATACAAGTAGGATAGGTAGGGTAATATAGGCTAGAGTTGGGTAGGATAGGATAGCAGATAAAGTAGGGTAAAGTGAAGTAGAGTAGAATAGAGTAGGGTAGGGTGAGGTAGAGTAGGGTAGGGTAGGGTAGGGTACGGTACGGTATGGTAGGGTAGGATAAGATAAGGTAAGGTAATTATAGTAAGGATGAATAATTTAAAGTTACATCACACAGTAAAACTGCTAAACAACAAAATTGTTGCCAACCAATTGTGAAATAACTTCTTTTACAATAGTTGTTGCTGATAAGTCCGCTGCTTCAGAGAAATTAGATTACACACCTTTAGCAACGTTAATAACTTTTTTCGATCGAAAAAAGGAATGGAAACGACCCTCGAGGACTGTGATATATTGCCTTATCAGTTTTTTTGCTAGGGGGGTTGAAGTTCGGAAGCCCACTGCCACTTTTTGTTCGTTTATTATACGGACGATTACCGTACTATCGGGGAAATGTTGCTAAATCAGTGGCTAGATGTTGAGTCGAAAGTGGTACAATGAAAGTTATTTTTGATCTTTCGGTAACAAAAATAAATTTTTCGGTTGTGGTTAGTATAGAAAGATACCACCTTTGGGTAGTGTACAAAGGTACCACCTTTGAGTAGTATAGGGAGTTACAACTGTAGGGTCGGATAGGAAGGTACCCCCTTCGGGTAGTGTAGAAAGGTATCTCAATAGTTTGTGTTCTAGTAGACACTTTTTCCTGTTCTAGTAAATACTTTTTCCGTTACTGTCACCTACAACAATAACAATTTTTAAAGACGACAGTAAAGGGCGCATTCTTGGGCCTTTTCTTATAGGCAACAAAGTCTTTTGTGTTCATCATGGCGAGTGTGTTTGACTAGTCTTGATACGTTTACTGTAGATCTATATTAACGTAACTTTACAGTAGCTCATAATAACGTTTTTTATGTTTTAATAGGGTTACTATTATGTCCTTTTAATATAAATACAGTATGTCTCGTTAATTTTTTTCCCTAATCCGTGTGTTGCTGACTATAAGTATATTTTACTTCATCTGCGGTTGACTTTTATGAATATGCACATCATTTTTTAAATTATTTTTTTTTCAGTATCCACTACAGTAACCCACGGAATGATAAGAAAAAACTTTTTTTTTGTATTTAAAATTTACAATAATTTAGTATTGAACTATAGCGTAAGTATGTTTGTCCACTTCTTTATTTAGTACAACGTTATTCGTTAAACCCTGTAACTCATACAATGATTGTAGAAAAATATATTTTTATTTCAAAAGTTACTCTAATTTTAATGGATGATGTTTCAAATTCACAAGTACATATTACAGTAGGCTTTTTATTATGGGAGAGTACTGTACGTTATTATTATTTTAGTCTTATTCTATTCTTACTTTACTTTATGGCCTTATCATAGCTTTATTCTAGCCTCTTCCTTACTAAGTTTCTTTTCTAATCCTAGCTTAGTCTTTATCCTAACCGTGCTATAGTCCTACACTAGCTTAGCCCCAGCTTTACTAAAAGCATGACATTAGCGCTACTCTGGCCTTACCTAAACTGATTTTTACCCTAGTCTACCCAAACTATGTTCTAGCCTTATCACAACTACTTTTAAGCCTATATTACAATAAAAACCCCTGCTAAACTCTTCAAACCATATGACACTCGGCCTACCGGTTCACCTTGTCGCTACTGTAAATGCAACTGGAATTTGATGAAAGTTGTTTTAGAAAGGGGGGGGGTCGTCAGCAACTCTTTTTACTACCACTGTTCCCACTGGCTTCGGCTGGGTCGCTTCCACTTTTTTTATGAACGAACATGCCCGCCGGGTGTTTTTTATCAGTCGGCGTTTTTATCAAAATGTTCCGACGCGAAAAAAAGTAAAAGTAGTTGCTTAATGGGGAGAAAAAACTGCTTGCGGGGCGAAGAGAAAGTGGCAAAAAAGTGGGAGAGGGTAGCCGGCTGGTTGGTGGGACTGGACCTGCTAGGGTTTATTGGTTTAACGGTCGATAAGTGGTGGAAAGGGGAACCGATTTTCGAAAAGGTGAAAGTGAGAATCTATTATTTGTTAATTTTGGAAAGATGGATTCAGATATAATTCAAGAAATTATCATTTAAAAATACAATTTTTTAATTTTTACTTTTTTTAAATATTCAGAATTTTCTTAATAATGATACTGATAAAATAATCATGTTGTTGCAAGTACTATAAAGTTTTCGACATTACCTTAGTTATAGGTTTGTCTTGCCTTTCTTCAATCTAGCCTGTTTATACTTTCGTCTTGTCCATGCCTTGTTTTTGTTCTACCCTACTCTCGCTTAGTCCTATTTTTTGCTCATGCTTTATCTTTTCTTTGCTCTAGCCTAGCCTAACCTAGCCATAGTTTTGTTTTGGTATGCCTTACTTTTTTTCTACTCTAGCCTAACTGTAGGTATCTTCCGTCTGTGCCTTTACCTTTTTCTATTTTAGCCTTATCTTATATTTGCTGTAGCTTTACTATAGCCTTGTTTTAACTTTGTTCAGGTCTAGCATTGGCTCTGCTGAAGCCCTAATTTATGTTTATTATATTTGTACTATAGACCTGCTTTATCCTGAACTTTGCTTGATCTCCGTTTAACAGTACAATACAGTGAAAACTTTTTCGTAAGACCTTCGATTGTATGATATCTTCTTTATAATGACAGCTCTCTAACAGTCCTTTGTAATAGAACTTATATACAAAATTATAATACCTGTATAGTGTGACATTCTGGTTATT